CAAATTTACAAAAGGATAACGTGACTTTTCCTCTGTGAATACTTTTAACATAATATTATCGTTAAAACTCGTATTTTATGAATATTTTTGTAAAATACCAAGTGCTGTCAGAATAGATCATGAAGTGAAAAATAAGCGGTTACAAAATAAATATAATTTACTACACAAAATGAATATATTAACAAAAATTTATTTCATATCAACTAAATCAGTTTGTGATGAATAATAATCATTACATTAAAATGTGTAGTAGATTTTGTCAAATGATTTAAATATTCGGCTCAATCCCACCACGATTCTGAATATACAGATTATAATTTAATATAATCGATAACCAGTTTTTATCAAAATTTTATACAAAATAAAGGTCAAATAAGTCGAATCAGAACTTGCCACTTCGTAGCAAATGTATGCAATTTTTGTAAAATTAACTGGTATCACTGCCTCCGAAAGTATTGCACTGTAGTGATGTACGTCACAACTTTAGCTACCGATAAGTTAATTAACCCATTCGCGTTTGTCTATCGAACAGGTTTTTATTTTTGGTTTAATAAAATATAAATAGTTAAGTTAATAAATAAACATAGTTAATTCATTAAATGATCATACATAAATTATAAAAGGGGATGAGGTCTCCTTTTAAGTATAAAAATTGTGTTAGGAGACTCCACTCTTCCATAGCACTTACGTTACTATTGGCATGATCTTTACGTAATAATTAACTATAAAAATTAAAATAAAAAACTAATAATATTCATGCCAAAGGTATACGCGCGTACGGCGCGCGTCCGCGTATATATATATATATAAATTTAGGCTTCACATTAAACACGATTGTAACAATTATTTGATATAAAAGTAAACTTATATCTCGTTGTGGTTGAAAATTATCATATTATTAAAATAACAAATCATTTGCCGTAAGTCATTTGAAGTGATATTTTTATTAAACCATACAAACTGATACTTTTAACGCATATGGGTAACGCTATTGGCTGAAATATTGGTTGGTATTAATTTAAACTGTTTAAACGAAGCGCGTCAGTTTAATATTATTTTAATGAATATTGAAGTGACTGATTTAAAAAAAGAGAAAATCTAATGTACATTTATAAGAATTATAGGAAAAAGGTGAAGTATTCTGAAAGGAAGTCTGGAGCAAGCAGCGACGAAATTTACAAGCCCATTTGGTTTGCCTTTGACGCGACCGATGCTTTTTAGGAGAAAGCAATAATTGTAAAAAAAAACTCAAATACGTTTTTTTATCATTTAATAAAGGGCCCTTTCAAAAACTACATATACGTTATGGTTTTATTTTGCTGAACAAAAGCTTAGATTTTATTATAATTTTAAGATAAGATACTACCTAATACTATATGCAGACTACCATGCATGAATGTTTAGGCTATGGCGGAATACCAGGGTCTGTGGGTCTCCTAAATTCCCTGAGCCGTAGACCATTTTGTCTCCAACTAGCATAATAAGATTTGTTTATGTTGATGAATTTTTTAATTTTTTGAGACAAATAAAGACTTTATTATTATCTTTTAAATACACACAATTGTAGTGTGCCAAAGCGCATAGTCACGGCGATAGGAGTGCATATTTGGGCGTCCATTCTCGACGAGCGCGCGAACTAAACCACAGAACACTTATACCCCAACTAAACTGTAAACGATAGCGAATGTGGAGGGACATGTTTTTCGCGACGACTTCGCGGCAAAATTACGGCTTGATTTCACCCCGTGAATCACACATGAGTCTGGAGCCCGTGTTATAAATAAGTACGGGTAGTGGCCCACCAATAATCACAATGAAATGCAGTACTTATATTTATTTCTTCGACGTAAAAAAATAATTATTACGACAATTGTATGTATAAATTACTGACTCACATTTTAAATGAAAATAGCGTAATTAAATTTTTTCTAAGTGTCAAACTAATGACAGCATAAAAACTTCATTGCTATGCGGGCAGCAGCACTGGTCGTAGATAATATACTATATAGGGCGGCATTGGTGATGCTTTTTACACCGGTTGTGCCAATATATCTTGGGATGACGTCGTCGAGTATCTGAACAGAACAAACTTGTGAAGTCTAGTTGTTAAATAAAGTCTCAGACTGGGGGCGACTAAATCTAGTCCAGTTTAACCTTCAGGAGATGCAGGTTCGCGAGTTTACCCCTAAAAAGAACCCCTTTGTCGTATCTCAACTTCACTCCCCTTGCTGCCTCAGCCAGCATCGGAATACTCTGCGTCGACATATCGAATGACGTGCAGTTTCGTGGTCATTTGGAAGGGAAGGCTAAACTGGTCTCTACAAAGCTTGGCGTGCTCAGCAGAGCGGAGCTATTTCATGCCGACGCACCGCTTGCACTTTACAAGGCGCTGGTTCAGCCTCACATGGAATACCGTTTTCATCTTCGGGCCGGGCATCGCGGTGCTCAACGGCTAGAATCGTCGACAACCAAGTTCTTTTTGATCGCCTAGATTCACTGGCGCTGCGAGGTCAAGTTGTATCTCTTTGCATTTTTTATGGAATAAGGGTGGTAAACGAGCAAACAGTCCACCTTATGGTAAGTGGATGTCCATAAGAGGATGGTGTCGCCCATAGACAACTACATTTACGCTCGTTTAGAATCAAAATGCAGATGCGTTTTTACCCCTTAGGGCTAAGATAGAAAGCCTTGTTTCCAGTAAAAAGGGTTTCGGTTTTCTACAGTCACTATACGAAACACAGCAGAATTAAGCTGCTACTTTACGTTGGTATTCTGTGAGAGCGTGGTGCTACCCCAGTCGAGCCGATCCATACGTCAACATAATATAGCTGCAGCATATAGCTCTATCCCGTTTAAAATTTCCTATCGCGTTTACCACGGGTAGTGCTCTGCGGAATTGTTCCGATTAATTCCAAGCGTCAAATCTGTTGGATTTGACATCTGGAATTAATCGGAAAGCACATTGCGACAAAACTCACGATATAATCCACACCAACTGGATGCTTGACGGTCCAGCACTATGCGCGTTACTAGGGATTTTCTTCCGGCTTAAAAAACAAACTCTTTGTGGAATCGTTTACCACCGACGATTTTCCAGAACGACCTTCTAGAAAAAGAGACTACTTTTTAAAGCTGGCAACATCTGCTGTTATCTTGGTGTTGCAGTTGTTCATAGGCGACGGTAGTCACTTTCAATCAGGTGAACTGCATGCTCGTGTGCCCTGATTCTATAAAAAAACTTCGCTTCGGGAAATGTATATTTATTCGAAAACCTTACATTAAAAAAACAAGCAAAAAATCATAGAAATATTTTATTCATAATGTCTTTATCTAATATACGAATCATCATATAAACTGCCTTATTTTATTACATATTATATCACTACTATCTAATTCATATTTTCAGGACATTCGACACAGTGATTCACTATCGTCATTTAGTCTATTCATCAAATTAAAATAAAAAAGAACCTGTTACTTTTCAAATATAGCGCTTATTGTTACCATGCATATGATTTTCATTGAAGTAGTAATTAAACAGTCAGCTTAAATTCAAAACTTACCCTAAGGCACTGACAGAAATGATTATGCGATAGATACCAGAATACTAGATAATATATTTCTAAATAATAAATAACATTCCCTATAAATTGATGAAACATGCAAAATTTTTAATTCGGAGTAATAGGTATAAAATTAGAAAATTATAAGCCGTACATATTAAAATTAAATTCAAAGTTATTCTTAATGTAAACATAAAAGCTAAAGATTTTAATCAGCCTAATTTAAAATACCTATCTAGGAATGGGGAGCTTTAAACAAAAACAAAGCAAAGTAAATGCTAATTTTTAAAGTAAATTGTATAATTTAAAAATAATTTTTATTTATTTATTAGCCTATGTATTGCAACAACTTTGTAATTACAATTTTAATTCTATAATACTAAACAAAAATTTTTACTTGAACTCCCAATTAATAAATTGAAATATTCTAGAAGTAATTAGTAATTACTTTTATAAGTCAAAATAATATAAGTATAAATAAGCTTTGATTATTATACCGTTCTCTACCTGCATAATATAATCAGTTTAATGCAGTCGAAAATGTAGGAGCATGTAACATGAATTAGACATTCGCTAAATTAAAACTAAAAAGATGCTTAATTCAGTTTTAGATAGGGTAAACTATAAGAAGTAAAATAATTTATTGCCCAAGATATGAATTGTTGTTTACAGGGGATATATGGACACTTTTATCAGTATCCACACTTTTATAAGTACCTGCAAGTCTTGAATTGCGTAATTAATTTAGAATGGCGCAAGCTCAATAATAACAAAAATTACAAGCTCTTATGATTAATGATAATAGTTAAACAGGAACTAAATAGAATTTTTAATCATTTTTTATGGAGATATGAATTGAGAAAATGTTAAAAAAGTTTAAATTCTGAATTTAAACTATGTATTGTATTAATTATGGCATGTTCGTCTAATAAAAATATTATTTAAAACATATAGTTTGTTCAGACAACTTCTGCACATTAAATTAAATTAATGAAATTGATTATTTGTGTAAACTTAGTAGCAAATGAAAGCAATCACAAATTGTTATCGAACAAATTGAACAGTTTGGAAACTGGACAACTACCTTTCAATATCAACATACCAATAAGCATTTCCCATATAAACTAGACTTAAGGTTTAAATTACAATGAAACACCTTTCTTCACCGACAACTGGTTAAAACGGCATATACTTACTGGTCTTGATAAAACGGCACAAACTAAAATAAACCTTAAGTGATGCAGTGTATTTTTTACTCTCAAGTTAACTGTAAAAGTTGATCTAAATTTATAAATTTTACAGTAAATCACTCGTAAAGCTTATAATTTAACGGCAGTGGCATCAAAGTCAACAGCGCGAACGTTCTCTGCGCTCCTTGTTTCTCGTTGAGTTCAAATAACAATCAGAAACATCAGCGCGTCTTGTTTTACCTGATTGTTATTTCTCTTCGACTGCCACCTGTTGAATAGATTATACATTATGAATTACATATATACACAACAATTTACATACAAATAAACAGTAATAAACTTTAAAATGGAAATACTTTATTTAAAAAACAGTTGTATAATACCATAGATTTAGTATAAGCTGACTTTGAAATAGATTGGCAATGCAAAAGTGAAAGAGCATTCTGTCAACATACTCGTGTCAGAGCGAGAAAGATAGGCTAGACCATTCACATACACGCTATCGGCCTGATGTCATTCGTATACAAAACAAATCCCGTTTGTATTAGCAAAATCTCAGGTTTTAAAGCGACAATTAGTGTTTAATAGGCGTAACTAATTAAGACTAGGTGCATAGCACCTAAGTATAATTCACCTCAGAAAAAAATTCTACATTATTATACATTTAACCCGTAGATACGATTGAAATGTTTAGCTGTCTAAATCTGGGGGCACGGCAGTGCCCCCGCCAAGTCGAGCAAAAAAGCGGCACGGCCGTACCATCTTTTTCTCGAAGCAATTCAGGTCATTTTCGACCCCCTATAACTTCGTGGTCAATAAAACTAGAAGCCTGAATTTTCAGTAACCAAGTAAGCATTGTATAGATATGGTATATTTCAAATTTCATTCAATTTGAACCAGTAGTTTAAGAATTGTTGAAACTTTCTTAATTTTGTCACTCACTGACTGACCGATCATCAAAACTCTAAGGCACTTCTAGCAGACATAGAAGCTTCAAATTTAGAATGCAATTAGTGTTTAGAGTATAAATCAAGGAAAAACTAAAACATTTGTTAATTTCTGTCCAGTTTTCTGGATACAATAACTGCATAAATAACTTTGTAATCCCTTATAAATATATAGAATTACAATACGCTAAAACATACATTACAGGTGTACATAGGTACGTTGTTGGTACTCAAGAAGTAGAAGGTACTGGAAAGGTAAAAAATTAAGACTATCTTATATACAAAAAGAAATGAGATGCAATTAAAAACATAACTTGTAAAAAAAACCAAGTCTCGCAACTCAGTTCTTCTACCGTAAAAAGTTGCGAGATCCATGTAGTACCAAGTCGGTTAATTTATTCAGTTCCTACTTATGAGTCCTTCTGTTTTAAGTTATTACGTAATTACTTAACCTAACAACATTTTATAGTGACCATATCAATTTTTAAAAGTCTTTTATATTTTAAATATATAGATTGACTTGGCAATCGCATTAAGCAAACTAATTTAATATAATACGTATTACTTGTGAGATACATTGTGGTTTCATGCGATGGCCAAGTCAATCAATAAATTTAAAACATAAAAGACTTTTAACATTGATATGGTCACTATAAAATGTTGTTAGGTTAGCTAATTACGTAATAACTTAAAACAGAAGGACCCTTAAGAGGAACTGAATTAATTAACCGACTTGGTATTACATGGATCTCACAACTTTTTACGGTAGAAGAACTGAGTTGCGAGACTTGGTTTTTTTTTTTTACAAGTTATGTTTTTAATTGCATTATATATTTTAGAGCAGGTGAGCAGTTCTCACCAAAATTGTACCGCCTTAAATTTAGATGTCCTTTAAGTTCGTGTTTATTTTGTTACTATATAAGACACCATATTTATCAGATTTTTTTTAAATCTTTTAAAGTCATATCTATAGATATAATTATACAAATAAAATACTACCAGAAGCGTTTAAAAATAATAAAAAAATTTATTTTCTGAAACCTGTTTATTTTTTTGTATGGATTGTAGATTGTCCTATCCCCTATCACATGATTTGAAAATTGATTTTACCAAAAAATTAAATTTTAGGAGTAAGTACATCTTTCCATTTTGATTAATCACATCACTATTTATTTACACAATGATACCTTTGAACATGTATTTTTTACTTATTTAATTTATTTTTCAATTTATTTGTTGTCCTAAATTTAACTCAATTTTGATTATCAACATTGTTACCATGATATTTCACATATTTTGTAAAAATTACTACTTTTTTTGGATGTTTTTAATGCTGTGTAAACATTTTTCTAAATGTCTAAGTCCTTTCATCTTAAATTGGTAGGCTGACATGCATTCTATGTCAAACAATCCGTGCACGAGTGTCGTGGGTACCGATTAAACTCAAACTTGTTACTGGACTTTAAATGGTAAGTACATACTTTACTAAAAAGAACATTTTTCTAATGATTTCTATGTGCATTCACTCTTGTTTTCACTAGTTTTTACAACGTTAACTAATAAAATAATATTTTTAGGCGGTAAAGAATCCCATAAACTCAAATTTTGTTACCTCAATTTTGTTACTTTTGAGTAGGTAACGTATATGTTGATCTCATTGGTAACACAATTGATATCATTAAGGGACGAATACATTAGCTTACTGCCAATGAATAGAAAATATATATGAAATGTATGTTTAACATTAGGTAAGTATTTGTTTTTCGCTCTCGTATAATCTGCTGAACATATTTAATTGAAATCCAGAACGAATTTCATGTTGGCGATGCCACACATAGTTTTTAGCCATGATTTATTTTAAACAGACTTCCAAAAAAAAAACATCACACAATTCGACCACGTATGTTTTTGCTTTTATTTAACTTGCACTGTTCGTATGTAAGTAAAAATATGTCCGTCAAAATTTGCAAACCATTTTTCAATGTTGGTATCCGATTGAGCTAAAATTTTGCAAGCACTTTTAGTTTTTATGACAAAGCAGTTGTTTGACAGATTTAACCTGATGTCACAGACAGGAGTGTCTCCTCATGAAGGAACTGCTTAATGGTTAATAGCAACTGAATGAAATTTAGTAGGATGCGTATAAAAGCTTGTCTGCAAAAAGTATTGTTAAATTTAAAACTTATTTTGTTTGTGTTGCATGACCGATTTTCATAATTCTTTTTTTGTAGTAATGGGATATTCCATTCTAACTTTTTATTAAATAAATCACTAAAGTAAATTAATATTATAATAAAGAAAGTTTATTTAAATAAAAAATGGTGAAACAAATGTTCAAATAAACGAAAAACAAACTTTAGAAGTAATACCTCTTCTCCTTAACTTTCAAAAGCGAAGATTTCATTGAAGTCGTGTTTTTGTTTATTTAAACAGTTTTTTCATGGAAATGTTATTGTGCTGAATGAAATCTCAAATAAATGATTTTAATTTTAAGGTTATCGTACAAGATGGCACCGCTAATTGCCACGGAAGAAATGAAACGCTATCGAAATAAGCCAGAATAAACCAGAAAAGTTAGAAGAATCAAGACATAAAAATTTGGAAAGGATGAAGGTTAAACATAAAAAAATCTGAGCTTAGTGACGAAAAACGGGTAAAAAGAAAGTATTGGCGAGTTAAGCAAAAAGAATCAAGAAAATAAAAAAGATAAAAAAGAGAGCGCGACAAGACGTTGAAATATTACAGCAAAATGTTACATAAACTACAAAAATTACTTGAAGAAAACGAAAAAAAAATTCAACAAAATGTGAATCTTACGCAGCACTAAATAAAAGATTGTACAGTATTAAACTGAAAATGATTCTAAAGTAAAAAAAAAAACTAGAAAACAGCAATAAATAGCTCTGGTTATTAAACCTTAAATAAATAAATTAAGCCTTAGAAGCATCAACACAACAAATTTATAAAGATTTGAAATGGACATGCAATCGCATAGATTTAGCATTTATAGAAATTACTTTTTTTAAATATCAACTTCTATACCATCTGTATTTCTAAATCCTTGCATTTTGATGAGAATGGAGATGCATTCTCATTCAAATGTATTAATTAACAACAACAAACGACAGAGTTTTCTTTTATTTAGGGAAATCTACCAGTTTCTTGAAATTAAGTCTATTTCCCGTATGTTACATCATAAATTTTAAAATAAAGGGTTGCTTATTTTAATTAAGAGTCCTATTATTATTTTCCGTTTATTAAACTAAATGCAATTATACCAGTATTCCTAACAATGTAAATGGGCCTTAATAATTTCTTGGTTACCAATCACAATCAATTTTGTTACTGTCCATAAAAATAACGAAGGTTTTTAACTGAGAAAAATTTTAGTTTTGGACTTTAACTAATTATATTTACTTATTAATACTTGCCGAAAAATTGTAATTTCATATCATTAAACAATATTTACATTTTATTTTTATTTTAAAATACATAGAAAAAAATTGTTTGGTTTTCGTCCTAAGTAACACAGTTGAAAATGTTTGTATTGTAATTTAAAAATTAGCAAACTTTTTCAAGTAAATTTTTTTTTGGGGTTTTAAATGCCTTCATATGTAATCGTATAGAATATTTAACACGGAGTAATCAAAGAACTATATTTAATTAAATGAATTTTGTTTAGTAACAAAATTGAACACGGTAGTGCCATGCTCGGAAATAAACCTGTTTTATTCCTAAATGGTATATATTTATTGGTAACAAACACTAAATTACTCAAATGTTATATTACTTTTAGCAAATTCTTTAATAAAATCATTTAAAACAAACACATTTTTAAAAATCAAACAAAATATTTGCCGTACAAAATTTTTGAGAACTGCTCAGGTACAAACAAATTGTATTTAAATGTATAGGAAAAATTATCAGATTTTATAATAATAAGAAACTGAATGCAAAAAAATTTAATTTAAAACAAAAACAAGTACGCGAAATACTGCTAATTTGACCACCTCACATTTGTAGAGATTAACATTATGGATAATATCTTATCGAAATGCCCTTAACATGCAAAAATACGTATTGCATGCAGCCTTATTCAACTTTTAATATTTCTTTTATTTTAAAATTCCGTAGTTAAAAATTCTTCAACCGTAAGAAAAAAATATTTTTTTAATAGAAGTAGGCTGACAAACGAGCACACAGTCCACCTGCTGGTGAGTGGATGCTGTGGGAGATTTTCACAAAATATTAATATTCGACAAAAATGGTTAAAAATAATAAATGAAGAATAATATGTTTCCAAAAGAAAAAAAAACGACTA